TCGATTATTTCTTTTATTTCATTTCTATTACTTAGCTTAGATTAATCGATTAATCTAAAATAATCGATTATTTTAAATAATCAATAATCGTGATATAGCATAAATTAAATGAACATTTTTTTATAATGTAAACAATGATTGAATTGAAATGTATTTCAAATGTAAATATTTATATCTCATTAGTCATCTAAATAATTTTAACGTGTAATGCTAATACCATTAACAAAATTGTATATACCTTATAATCAATGAAAAATATAAAAAAAAAACAATAGCTCTCAATTTCGTAAATAAAATAATAGACGAATAAGGTAAATATCAAACATTTCGTGGTGTTGGTGTATTATTGACTGTTCCAGACAAGTCACGTTTATCAAAAATGTAAAAGTCGATCAAAATTTAATATCGAACCTCAAACAATTGCTTTTCGAGCTTGAATGAGAGTAAAAAGGAAACAAAAACTAGACAGTATAATGCAGATTAAATTTAATCATGCTAAATGTAATTGTTATAATTCTGCCCTTCTAAGCCAAAAGGCGGCATCTCAAAAAAACGGCATTTTTTATTTTTTAACGCATCAGATAGTTTAAAAAATTCCGCATCAGATGTAGTGAGAAAAATAGCAAAAACACATATCAACTTCACTTGTGTTAACTGAAAAGCTTAAGGGTATTCTATAATTAATCCTGCGGTACCTAAATTATTTGTTTAGACTTTTTTTAGACAAACATGTACATGTTTCAAAATAAAAATTGCAGTCGTAATATTATCAATTATGATATAAGAGAAGCACCTCTTGGCGACGTTGTCAACTACATGAAATCTGTAGGCTGGCTCACGAGCTAGGAGGTGCCTATCATCTCAGGAGGATGCACAATGGGCCTAATGAGGCCTAAGTGCCGTGGGGGTAACCCACCCTCCACACGTTACAGATATTATCAATTATTACTAAAAGAAGAAACGATTTTAGTTATACAGAAAGCATAGACCACACACCAATGTAAGCTTAAGGGATATTGAGGAAAGCTTAAATTTTTATACCAAATGTTAGGATACATTTTATTAATTAAAGTTTATTTATAAATCATCAATTATTTCACAGTAAGTAAGTCATTTTTGTATTAATAGTAGTTTATGTTATAAGGACGAAAAGTTAAGTTTTTCAGACGACTACGAGACGTAGCCGAGCCTTGCAACTCGTAGGAGTTCGAAAATAGACTTTTCGTCCGTGTTTCATATATTATTTTTTATTCGAATGTGCATATAGATATTAAAAAAAAATATAGATAAAATAGTATATTACATTACGAGTGTGGAAAGTGACATTTTTCACACGAGTGGGAAATATTGTCGCACGAGGCGTAAGCCGAGTGCGACTATCACACGAGTGTGGAAAATCACTTTTCACACAAGTGATGTACAATATTTTTCCTACGACCACAAAATAATTTCATCAAAAAATGTAAAACCAGATTATTATAATAATTAAAATGTATTTAAAAAAATAATCAACAATAATCGTATTTATTAAATTTTCATAATTTCTAAACAAATAAAAAAAAATAAAAAAAAAATAAAAAAAAATTCTGGCACAGCCAGGATTCGATCGCGGTCGTTGGACGGTCTCAAATTGCAAAGTTGATGCTCTAACCAACTGAGCTAACAGGCCTTACGGTAATTGATTGATCTAATCGCTTATGTGTTTAACCAGAATAAAAAGCAAATATATCTTAGTTATTTTAAAATTATTTTAAAAATAATTGTTAAAGATAAATATCTAGGATCTAATTTAAAATAATTTAACAATCATATCGATTTTAGTATTAATATGGACATTACATAGATCAAAATAGAAATTATGTGTTTGACATTTTCTGACAGCTACTGCGGAAAGTAGCATATTCTCACTTGGGTGGAAAGTAAATTCTTATTCATACGCGTGTGATATAGGGCACTTTCCATAGGTCTATATAGTGTGATATGTGTCACTTTCCTAAGTGGTCGTAGGAAAAGTATTTTTCAGCAGTTATTTGAAGTTTATTTAAAAGTTCTCCTATTCGATTATGTTCTGTGTCCGGAAAATGTATCTGTTTACAGATCAAAAATGTGTTTTTCTACGATCACTATCCAAAGTAGGCTTTTGGACATTCAAATCTAACTAGAATGTTGAACTGTCATAATTTCACATTATTGGCGCACACGTGCGCCAAAGTAACTTTGGCACACGCTTGTCTATTTTCATTTTAATTAAATAAAAGAAAGCTAATCGGTATTTTAAAACAAAATGTAGGCCAATCTAAAATATTTTAATTGACTTCCTAATATTTTAAAGCATCCAACAGTATTTTCCGTAAATAATTAAATGATTAAATCATATATATTTATCGACATAAAACTTTTTTTTTCTTCGAATAGTAGGCTTATGTCAAATAAACTTACAATATTATAAAGAAAGAAGGTATTTAGCTATTTTCTATATCAAAATATTTTTAAAAAAGTCTATTAGGGATAATTTTTTATTTTTCTCAAAAAAAGTACCTTTATGTTTGATTTCGGATGCGAAATAATAGAAATAATAAATAAATCTATCCATTTTAAAGAAATATTGCAAGTTCACTTAAGGTCAGTCACTATTAGCGGCGCTTTTATTTTGACATCTGAGCATTCGCAGATTAAGTTTTAAAACTGACTTTATTAAGATAGTGCTTGTGCTTAATTGTGGATGTTTTTCGGCAGCAAATGGTTATAGGTTACGGTTGCACTCGCCAACATTTGTATCAGTTCGAATTTTTTTAATACTATTCCTTTAGGTGAAGTATTTTCATCTATTTCTGTTTGTATTTTATTTAATTAAATTAGCAAATAACATGAAGCATAAAAGTATGAAAATCAAATTGTTAAAAACCAAAGTTAAATCGACTAATTTTCGAATATTATATACAGAGTGGCCCAAAAGTCTGGAAACGGCCAATTATCTCGTAAATTGCTAGTCCTAATTATACACCTATTTTGGGATACGGTGATTTTAAATTTGATATTTGCAATGTTGCCAGATTTGCCGTTTCTCTTAAATTATTAGTCACTTTGGTTTTTCAAATTCTCCACCCTGTATATTCAGTCATTATTGGAATCTCCTATTCAATACGAGTTCAACCATATGTAACCCTTATGATGTTATGTAGTCTGGAAGGTCTTAAATAAATAAAATAAGTCTGGCAACGCCTAATTGTCTCAATAAATTTTTTAATACAAACTATTTTCAACTACATTAAAACGTAACAATTGAAAGATTATAACATTTTTAACATAATGGTTACTTTATCAAGTGTTCAAAATGTGTTTCATTTGTGAGTTGACAGTACCCTAATTGATGGTAGAATGCGTCTACCACATTTCTTCATGATTGTTTTATTTATTTAAGACCTTCCAGACTACATAAAATCATAAGTGTTACATATGGTTGAACTCGTATTGAATAAGAAATTCCAAGAATGACTAAATATACAGGGTGATCAATTAAAAACCAAAGTGACTAATAATATAAGAGAATCGTTAAATCTGGCAACATTCCAAATATCAAACCTAGAATCTCCGTATCCCAAAATAGGTGTACTCCAAATTTTGTACAATTAGGATTATCAATTTACGAGATAATTGGCCGTTTCCGGACTTTTGGGTCACTCCGTATAGTATTTAAAAATCTAATTTTCAGCCATAATAAAGATAGGGGTCTAACTTGAGTCGTCTTACTATTGAAAATTGATAAATTTATTATTTTCAATAAAAAAAAATAATAATTTAAAATAAACTTATTTTATTTTATCTTAAAGGTATTTGATACTCAATTTGAAACAAATAGGAAAAATAAACAGTAAGCATATTTTCCTAAATTAGCCGATTTGAAATGTACCTATCCAGTTTCTTTGGAATACCATGACAAATCGTATAAAACTGCTATTTTGGACAAGACATGGCTGCTATATCAAATAATTTTTCATCGTACTGAAGATTAAGTTGAAAATGTGTGGGATGGTCTTATCGCCTTCCATGGCGACACAGATCAATCTATTGTGGCTCATGTATATCTTATAAACTGAAACTAGTGCTCTAAATTAACGCTATAATAGATATAAATTCATCCAAAAATCCAATGATATCCTCTGTCTCTAACTATTTGTGTGTAGTCTGATGACAAATGTATTTTTTATGATCACTAACACTAATCACTAATGTTGTGAATTATACTAATTTATATGAATAATATTTATCTTTACAAATAGAAAATCTAACATAAACTAAACCCATATCGACAAAGTTGTGCTATTTATATAAAAATGTGGCTTCCTAGGTCTGTTTCTCGGAGTTTCTAGCCGAGACCAGAATGAATAATGTGTCTGGCACATTCTATTGCTCCTAGAGCTTTTCCGCAGCAGACTGAACGACCACATCTATCAAACATGCTGGCGACAACGAACATAGAAAGCAGTACCAAACTGGTCGAAAATGGTTCGCACGACATTATGCTCGAAAGCAGAATATTCCTATTATAGACTAGCATACTTATAATATTTTCCTCGGTTACAGGTTAGTTAAATTAGAGAAAAATTCTCTTGAGTTGAATTTATTCAATATACCTTGCAACCTAAGGTCAGTCCAAAAAAACTATGTTTACTCTGTTAGAATATATAGAAACAGTGAGATTATAATTTCAAAAACTTCTATTTTTTGTCATATCTTATTTTGTTCTACCTTATTTGGACTCGTTTTATTTTATTGCCATTATTTGTAAGTCTATAATTGTAGCCACCTTTAATAACGGTAGAATTAATGTGACTTATAAATCCTATTGTTATTATATTTTTTAAATTGTACTTTTTGCAAATATTTTGTACATTTTTCTTTCTAATTTTTGCCTAGCTATAAACTATAATATAGTATATTACACTAACATTTGGTATAAACTTAAGGAGAGGTAAAGGTGTGTTAAGTATTGAGGGTACCTTGGGGGTCAGGGTTGCCACTGTGGTCAGCTTGGTTTCCGGTCGCTGTGGTGGTGGTGGTGGTGTTGTTGGAAGACACATATCCAAGCTCGAGGCTCTGCTCCGAAGGCATCCGTCTTGCCAGCTTGCTTCACTGCCCTCCCTGTACAATTTCAAGTTTTAACATATCAATTCTAGTTGTGTTAACGTAAATTTAAAGGATTTTCAAGCAACTGAAACATGTATGGGCCAAAAAGATCCTATAAATATCCCTTTAAATATCAAAGTAAAAAATAAAATTTATCCAAAATGGAATTTGAATGTTTATTTCCACAGTTTATGATTTTATTTTCAAGATTAATCTGGTCTAGTAATAAAAATTACCTCATCATAAGTTATCAGATTTTCATATACAATACAACGAGCCAATGCACGAAACGTATTGTCAAAAATTAATTTCAAGAGTTCGAAGGACAAGTGAAATTATTTGACAACACATTGAGTACATTATGTGATTATCCATAGTCCCGATATCTAAAGCTTCAATAGCTTATATGGGTGATTCTCGTGTAACTGTGATTTTTACAACTTACATTTTACTAAAATTTAAAATGTTTTAAAACGTATGTTTTACGCGTTTTTGTTTTTGATTTATGCACAGAAATAAGCCTGTAAAGTGGTTCTACTACAGCTACGACACAACGAAAACTGTGACAAAATTTAAAAATTTTAACGCCACGGTACTGACATTATTTCTACGGTACTGACATATAAATGATTATTTTTTTTCACCAATCGAAAGATTGGTATAAAATTGTAATAAAATTCAATGCAGTATGCATTAGATTGTAGTTATAAGAGGTAAATTTTATATAAAAAAATGAATTTTGATAGAAATTTATATATTTAATTTTAAAAATGAGAATCGGACATGCCAGGGTACTAATTTTTCAAGTATATTATTTATATGCAGCTTAAAAAAATTACGAAGGTTTATGATCTAATTCATAATGTCGGTTGTAAAATACCTCTAAATTTATAATATTAATAACTTTTTGATGAGGAAAACTTATACTAAACGATAAATAAAACACTGGACATAAAAAATCACAGTTATCCGAGAATCACCCATATCACGAATTAATAAAATATGACAGTTAAATAATTTTCACTTGTCTACCAGATCTTTATAGCCTTAATGTACCAAATATGATTATCAGCTACGAGTCAAGTATGGTGCATGATTAATCAACTAAAAGTAATAGTATGTTTCATTACAGTCCAGAAAATACGCTTTTCCCGTGCGAGTGTGACAGTTTTATGTGTGAGGCGGAGCCGAACACGAAAAGTCATTAAGCACGGGAAAAGCATTTATGGACGTGTAATGAACGATACTTTTCATTATACTTCTCCGAAAACAAAAACAAAGCAAAAAATATAAGAAAACATCATCACTTACTGTGTTAATATTTTTTGCAGGCGCCATTTGCAAAATTAGGTATTACAAACAAAATGGCTGCCAGAAGGTGTTGACAAGTTATGATGTGGTTACCTCGCATACTTTGATTTTCTCTTACTATACGGAGAATGGTCGCACTGCGGAGCTTTCTGAGTGCCTTTTAAAAGGAGATAGAAAACTCCGCCGTTTTGATGCCTTATTACGTGTTGCCTACATCTTGGTGCAATATTTTTAATAGGTGCGTTTTAATCATCCGCTTCTGCTTCGGAATTGTCGGTTTTCTTGTTTTAATCTGACAGGTTAAAACAACTAAACCGACAATTCCGGAAGCAGAAGCGGATGATTAAAACGCACCTGATATATTGCTTGCTGCTGTCAGTGTCAGTAAATATTATTTTTGGAGTCACAGTTTATTGCTAAAGAATCAGTTAGCTCACTCGGACCAGTTGAAAGTTCCAAAATAACATCCACTCCAGGGATACAAATTCAGGATGCGCAGAAGACTGCTGTTTTATTATAGGCGGTTGTCATATATTGTATTATCCGAGTTGCGCAGTGTATAAACTGGAACATTGAGATCAAAAGTGCCGACGCAGAGTGAGCGAACTGATTCTTTAGCTATAAACTGTGGTAAAGGCATCAAAATGGCCGCGCCCTATGTTGGGCGTGTCGGACCTCCCTCTTGCACCGTATAGTAATCAAAGTATGTGGGTTACCTTGTGGGCCTGGTAATTTGACAGGGTCAATGATATAGATAGTTATATAGATTAATCATCCATGTTTTTCAAAATAAACATAAGCTTATATCTTGAAGTAAAAATGTAGGCAATTCTTTTTTTACTATATTCAAAGGCTGAAAATTGGTTTTAAAACACATTTTTGCTAAACTGATTATGGCCGCTCGCAAAATGACTCGCTTTGAACAAACTATACAACTATATATGTATTATTGACCCAGTCAATGACAGCAGGCCACAGGGTTGCCCAGGGCCGACAAGAGGGGAGTAGCCGGGACTAATTCCCGGGGCTCGGGCTCAAGTGGAGGCCCGGCAACTTTGGTGAGGACGTTTTTACTTCTTCAGCAGTTCGGCACAAGAGGGGGGAAATTTTTTTTAGGGATTCAGTAAAGAGGAGGAGAAGGTTTTGCTGGAAGATTTTTTTTTAGAAATGAGATATTAAAAAGTGCCTAATTTTTTATAAAATTGTCGCGGGGCCCGACCTGGAAAAATGTCCCGGGGCCCGACCTGGCTCTCGGCGGCCCTGGGGTTGCCATGTCTAAACTGTCAGTTCCCACTTGTCAGCATTTTGACAAGTCGTTGTAATGCCTAATAGATGATACTTTTATTAATACCTCTTGCAGGACTTTCTGAGCAGTAATTCTGCATTAATTTTTATCGTTTAAAGTGTTCTGGAGAAAGCATTTCAAAAATATGTGTAACAAGAATTCAAAAAAATATTCTCATAATAATATAAGCGTTGTTTATTGTTGCTAAGAAAACTAAATATTAGCATATATTTTTAAAAACAATTAAAAAATCTGACAACTGCTGTAATATTACAGACATTGTTTAGTGTTGCTAGGCAAAATTAATAATGACGTCATTTAGCACACCGAAAAAAAATTCCCGTGCAGGAGCCCATTTTCGGTGCGCTAGTCAAGTAAAGATAGTGTTTTCAGAGAGGTATAATAAAAGTTATTATTACATTGCGAGCGATATAATAGCTTTGTTCGCGGTAAGAATCCTGAACCAAATTATTACTAATAGTAACGATTTCGCAGGCGCAGTAGTTAAGAAGCGTTCGCGGAACAAAAATAACTGAACTATTGGTCCTATTCTGCGTTCGCGGTAAAATTGATTTTGAACCGCTTGTCTATACCTGAAACACCGAGATATAATAGGGATTGCGCGCGCGGTAAAAATTCAGAATTGATAATGATTCGGGCATGCGCTCAAAGTATGAATTAGTAATTCTGAATCAGTTCAGGATTGTTACCACGAACAAAGCTATTATATTAAATTACATTTCATCATCTATTTCTATTTAGCTTTAGACTTTAGATAGTGAAAAGGACAATTCGTTTTATTTGTATTCGAAAGGGATATTTAAATGTTTTAATCTTGTTGAATTAAATTTTTAATAAATTACTACTCACAAATACATAGTTATAAAATAGGTGTCACAGAGCTAGTCTAGATAGAGGTAGCATGAGAGAAACATACTTTATCATACAAGGTGTTAATTTGAATAATAAGAACCAATAATTATAGTATAAAATTTGGCGAAACACGTCAATTTACATATCACGGGGACAATTGTTGAGGCATTTGTTGTCGTATTACTTTCAACCCCCTGACCCCCAGGGCACCCACCCCTAAAATTGTAAATGGCAACCCCTATTTCTTTTACCATTTTTGCGTTCTTTGTGTAATTCTAAATTGCATTATTGTTTTTTTTTATCAAAAAAAGTACCTAACCTCACAAATGTAAGGAATGTATTTAATATCTAAATTTAAATAATACAACTTCTTAAAACTGGTTGCTTTCACCACCTCGCAGCAAAATTATTGTTCCTACAAATACTGCATTCCAAATTCTTTTATTTATTTACATTTCGCCCTACAAAACATGAAATAATTTAACTTTTTTGTGCATCTTCGAACAAACAAGATTCTGTACTGATATTATTTACAAGTGGTGTTAATTTTATTTATTTGCTCTGCTTCTTTGATTAGTGAAATAAGCTGTGAAAGTTATTTACATCATAATATAAACAATTTCAATAGTTTTAAATTGTCGTTTCTCAAATTGTAACTGTTTCTTAAAATGGTTTACACCATTGTTGAACGCGTAGAAATGATTTTTATTTACGGAGCCCAAAATCGTTACTTTGCAAGAATGGCGGCCATATTTATTAAATATTATTTAAGGAAATACATCCGTAAAGAAATGTTGGACACAAGTACATCCGTGAGTTAGTATCTAAAGAAACTGGATCTGTTAGCAATAAGAAAAGGGATGGGCCAAGATTGCTCAATGATGCCGCTTAGATTGAGGTTATTGGTCAAGTTTTTATGGATCCCACTACGACCCTTCGTGAAGTTGTACAACAAACTGGACTGTCGCATGAGTCAGTCAGGAAAATATTGAAGCTTCACAAATTTCATCCATAGAAACTGCTAGTCACTAAAGAATTAGGGGATGATGACTCGAACAGACGTATTGAGTTTTGCGAAATTATGAGCAACAGGATTATTAATCAGCCCATGTTAATAAAACAAATATCTTTTTCATTGACGAATGCAGTTTTCCACACATTATTAGAGAAGGGCATACGCAATATCCTCAAAAAAAAATTAATATTTGGGCGGGTATATTAGGCAATACTATCAACGGTCCCCTCTTCATAAACTAAAATCTAACTGGTCAAATTTATACCGAAATGTCAGACAGAGCTATAGAACCTTGTATAATTTATTAAGTGGAAAGAGACGCCAATCGAAATCTTGCTCTAGCTAGATGAACATTTGCTGCACTTTCAACAGGTGCACTTTCAACAGGACGGAGTACCTCCTCATTATGTACGCCCAGTAAGAGAGCAGTGGAATGGTAGGAAAGGGCCCATAGAATGACCACCTAGGTCACCAGATCTGACACCGCTGGATTTTTTCCTATTGTATTCAAAACCCAACAAAACTCCATTG